GATGGTGGGCGTAGGTGAAAGCCTTTGGCTGTCCGAAATACAGCGCAGCTACCTGAGTCAGCAGTCGCGCTTGTGCCAGCCAGAGAAGACCGAGCTCTTCGTTTTCAAGCTCCCATACCATCGTAAGAGTGCTCCGGATGGTGGTATGCATCATGGCCCCATAATTGCTCGCGTTGGAGCCGCAATACATCGATCCGATCGAAGTAAGAACGAGAAAAAGGATTGGATGAAGAGCGTCGAGTTCCAAGGTTTGCAAGCTGAACAGGGGCCATAGCGGTCCGAAATGTTCTACATACTTGGCGCAGAAGTCGTAGAGTGCTGACGAACCCGAGCACTCTTGGTAATCAGTGAGCCCAAATGCGAGTGCAACTTTGGCAGAAGCGAGGGCCCAGGAGTTTGCATGGTCCTTTTCTGACTGATTACCCCACGCTGGTGAGGAAGCGAGGCCGACTAGATTCTCAATAACTAGGTTTTGATTGTCTCTGGATGTGATCGACGCACTTTGATCCAGACTGCCTATTTTCATATCAGTAAAAATGCTCCACATCACGCTATCGAACGATGACTTACACGTATCTTCCAACGTGCCCGTGGCGAAGATATTCTTTGAGGCTTGCTGATGTGCTGTGCTGCTCAATCCGTCTGACGCAGAAGTCTGCCCTAAGAGCATCTCCACGTCCGGTTGGCCGACATGACTCTGCGTTGACAGCGAGCCAAGATTGGTGAAGGATTCCAAGTCAAGTCCGGCAAGCGTTTCGTCTTGGGAATATGGGAATTGCACAGAGCTCATCGTGTTGGCCAATGAGTGGGGGTCGGCAGGTAGAAAGAGGTTTTCGTGTAGCCACGGCCAAGACATGGTTCCTATATCGGACGTCTCACCGGTTGCGACGGAGGATGTGGAGTGTTCGGGACGAATAGGTATGCCCGCTAACAAGCAATCGTTGTACGGATCGTAGATTGACTGTCTGTCCAGGGAGCTGGGGCGTATATGATGGGTACCTGGATGGAGATCATGTTCTCTCGGATGCTCGGCGCTCTCGATAGGCAAGCATGATCCCTCGTACGACAAGCAGCCCACATCGTCTGGCTGGTCGTCATGTTGGTTGGACTCGTGTGGAGGTGCATCGGTGGCCGGTGTCGCGACATGCGGAAGAACCTGGCTCAGCCTATTGGAACGGTTGGAGTATTGACAGGAAGAGTCGGTGTTCAGACATGTATAGCACGGACGCTGTCCATCACATTTCGTCCTCAACTCTCTGCATCGGAGACACGCGGTATGACATCGCTGCCTTCCCGATGCGGCAGTGGTACTGCCGATCTGGGCAGATGGCGGTTCAACTGTGTCGTTGAGAGACGAAGGCTGGTGAAGCTTCGAGTGTCGAGACAAAAGATCCCTGCGATGGAAAACGACGCCACAGGTTGAACAGCGGTGCTTGCAGGTCTTTTGGTGGCTGTGTTGATGACGCGTCAAGGAGTTTTGCGTACGATAGGTCCTTTCGCATTTGGTGCATGGGTACATGATGTGAGGATGAGATGGAAGACGTGGTGAGCCCCAACGGCTTCTCCATGGCGCGGCGAAGGCACCTGGGCATGTTATGCATGTTGGCACTGACTGTCGGCTCAGCACTCGAGCCGTCGGACTGCCCTTGGCACGCTAACGCGACCGGCGGGCGAGGGCTGCGGGGTCGAGCTAGCTGGCGTTCTCGCCTCGATCTGCGTGCACGCGCTTCCCAGGACTCAAGATCACGACTTGAATTGCTATGGACACATGGTGCCGATTACCGCCATCCACCTCTACGGACATGGATTCAACGGGACGTGCCGTCTACTTGCTCATCATGCATCAAACGACATGCGATTCGACATTCGGCCAATTCCTCCAATCTCCACCTCGACCCTGTCCCCATCTTCGAGAAAGGCTTGCGGCTTCATGAACAGTGCGACTCCACCTGGCGTCCCGGTCATGATCAACGAGCCTCGCTGAAGAGTCTGGCCTTGACTGCAAAATGCGACAAGTCGTCGGACGCCAAAGCACAGATCTGACGTATTGCTTTCCTGTCTGATTTCCCCATTGACCATCGTCCTCAGCGACTGTTTGTTGGCTTCTCCTAGGACGTGAGTGGCTACGATACACGGTCCCAGCGGCGCGTACTTGTCGAATGACTTGCTGAAGGACCACTGCGGAACAGGCCCTGCTTTCCCAGCTTCTCTTTGCCAGTCGCGCGCGGAGACATCGTTACCTGCAGTATATCCAGCCACATAGTCCAAGGCATCGGCTTCCACTATGTTCTTTGCGTCTTTGCCGATGACAACGACCAGTTCACCCTCGTAATCGCATTGCTCCTGTGCGAAACAAGGAATTGGGACGTCCTCGCCGTGATCCGCAACGGCTGGCCCTGGCTTAGTAAAGACCGTTGGACACGTTGGAAGCGGCCGTCCGGTCTCGAGAACTTGCAATCTGTTAGATCGGGTGCTTCTCCCACTAGTGTTCCAATCCCATACATACTGTGTGTTTTGTAATTCAATCCAATGCAACGGATGATTGGGACATGAGCTGGCTCGAGCGGTCCCAGCAGCCTCGCCACTTTGTCGATCTCGCCTGTTGGTGTCGCACTCAGCGGATCGTTTCCATGCAACATCTTTACTTCGAGTTTTCCTTCCTCTGCAATCTGAGCAATCAAATCCACGTCTGAGCCTGAAACGATGGGGTCGCCATAACGAATATCCTGATCAGCCCCTTGCGCAATGTAACGAACAAATCTATCCCACGCAACTGGTTCTGAAGACATCGTGAACAGCTAATCGCGGAATAGGGAAGAAGAGTTGGAGCTAGCAGGTCGCACAGCTCTCAAGGCAGAGGCAGCTCCTATGTGTTTTCGGAGTTCACCAACTCTCACTCCTCCATCAGCATATGCAGTGTGGTTCTCGGAAACGCGCGTGAATATCAGTAGTCGGAAGGCAGCGTATCCGCTTTCCGACCAAGGAACCCGCCAAGGCATACCACCTTATCCGCTGTACCAAACTACAGAGACTGAAGCCGAATCAATTTGAATTTGTCAGCGATAAGTTGCAGTCTTGTTTTTCGGAATACATCCGCGGACAATACGCAGCTTGACTATGTGGGCTACTTGGGCTGCTTTTGAAGCGGGGTAAACGCGTACCACAACGCGCATAGTCAGTCAGAATCCAGATGCACAGGTGGCTGCTTTTCAGATGGTGTATGTCTACATAATAGCAAGCAGCGAAGTCTGTTCACGTGGTTTCACAGGCTCTGCTAAGTTCTTCACGTAGTCTACTTGCCAGACTTCATTGCGTCAATACACGACCGTTCACGCGGAAACGGTCTGGGATGATGAATATTCCTGGGAGTCTGGCACCTGATGTAAGCACTCGCTTTCCAGAACGATGCGTTGTACTCATCGTGCTTTCAGGGAACGAAGCTTTGGCTTCTTCATGTAGGAGACGTGGTAGCTAATGAGGCTTTCATGATCACCGGGGTACGTCTCAATCCATTCAGCACAACAACGCTGGCGCTGGTATCAGAAAACAGCAGATTGACTTGGCTATGTAGGCGAATGCTTCTACTGCAAGCAAGTTGAACCCGCAACAACATGCTCGAAGGTCAATGGTAATGATGTGTGCTTTGGTCTCTCATCCTACTGAAGGACTCGTGCTCTTCGAGACTGGTCCTGGCAAAGATTACCCAGACGTTTGGGGACCACAGCTCAACGACATCTTTGCTCGGGAAAACTATTGCGAGGATCATGACTTGGATGTTGCTATTCGGAAAACTGGCAATGACATCAAAGACGTTAAGGCCGTCATCATGGGCCATCTTCATCTTGATCATGCTGGAGGATTAGAGTATTTTCGGGGAACGGACGTCCCTATCTATACACATGAGCAGGAACTGAAGAACGCATTTTACAGCGTTGCGACAAAAACAGATCTTGGTAAGTCATTGTCACAAAGACATGCACCCCACTCGCAGTCATAATGTGTCTTATGAGACATTATGAATTACGGGGTCGGCAAGGCTGACTCAAAGCTCTATGCAGGTGTCTATTTGCCTACCTATCTTCAATTCGATCTTAACTAGAAACCGTTCCACGGCGACGGATTCGAGCTAAACACTGGGTTGATCATCCGCCACAGCCCCGGTCATACCCCAGGCCTCTCAATCCTCCAGGTGAACCTCAAAACCAGCGGGACGTGGGTTTTTACCACTGACCAATACGTCTTCAAAGAGAACTACGAGTCTCTTGCCACCCAGGGTTGGTTTACCAGGGACCATGCATCTTGGTCGAGATCCAACCAGATGATACACTCTTTGCAGAAGTTGACTAATGCGCGACTCATCTTCGGACACGATCGTGATGTACTCTTTCAGTACAACTTAGCGCCAGGATACTACGAATAAATTAAGTCCTTCCATTGACCGTGTATACATGTGCTCAAAGATATTATAAGCAGGGCAGAATGCATCAATTTACTTCCGGTTCACAGCGCGTCAATCACACCTGCGACGTTTGCGCGCTATGCAAATCACCCTTCCTTCAAACATGCACTTGCAGTGTTGCATGCAAATTTAGAAGTCTGACAAACTAATTCCCGGCTTCAGTTGAACGGTCTTGATCAAACGCTAGCTACTAGCGCAGATAGAATTCCCAGGATAAGGTGGTATCAATGTGCGCACACCACCTTACCCGCCTACGTCAGAACCACAACTATTGCTAACCCACTTGGTCTTTACGAACCCCAGCGTACTAGCTCCCTGGAACCTGACACCGTTTACTGTTGACGCTGTACCGGTACCTCGGTTCCACAACTGATGTAAAGCGGTCGCGGAAGGCGAGCTACATAGCCTCCACGTGCTTGAGCTGACAGCTCAAGGTTAGTAGCGTAGATCAACATACATCGAATTGCAGCGCTGTATATCATCCGCCCAACCAACGACGCTTGCGCATAGATTATTACACTTTTGTTTTGAATCATACGACATGCCGATACCTGACAACGACATGAGGATCCGCCTCAAGGCAACGGCGTTCGTCATCTACTACCATACCGACCTAACCAAGGCGCGTCAATTTCTCCTCGACTTCGGACTGTCCATCGCGCGAGAAGATCCCCAAAACCAGATCTTCTTCAAAGGGTATGGCGTGGAGCCCTTTGTATACATCGCACGTCAAGCCGACGGCAAGAGCAGTTTCGAAGGAGCAGCATATGAAGTGGAGAGTTGAAGAGAGCTGGAACGCGCAAGTCAGATAGATGGAGCTACTTCTATTGCACCTCTCGACGCTCCAGGAGGAGGGAATTATGTTAAGCTCACCGACCCTGTAGGCCACCATGTCTATCTCATTCATGGTCAACAAAAGAAGGAGGCCGAACCGCCAGCTCTGAAGAAGCTGGTCGTCAATTACGAGGACGAAAAGCCACGAAAGGGCAAATTCCAGCGCTTTGAGCTCGGCCCAGCTCCCGTTCATCGCTGGGGTCACTACGGTGTGACATATCCAGATGGCGCGTATCAACAGATGTATGACTGGTACACCAAGACTCTCGCTCTCGCTCCATCGGATATCGTTTACAAAGACGATAAGCCCATCACATGCTTCTTCCATATCGATCGTGGTTTGGAGTACACAGATCACCATGCCTTCTTCTTTAAGCGGGTCAAACCGGACTATGAACCTACTGTTGCGCATTCTGCGTTTGAGACCCATGACTTCGACGTCGAGCATTTGGGCCATGACTATCTTGAGTCGAAAGGATACGAGAGTTGTTGGGGTGTGGGAAGAGTTGGTTACATCAACTCCATGGTTGTGGACGAACTGCTAACCGGGAACAGCATGTCCTCGGAAGTCAAGTCTTTGACTACTGGTTTGATACCAGCGAGTTCATATTGGTAGGCAACACTTGTCATAATTTGATTGGCATGATACTAACAGCGTTACAAGGAGCACTATGCGGATGGCGATTTGGTCAATGCTGAGACGGAGGTATCGCACGTTCCTGCTGGGCCACAGGCGCTCAAGATCTGGGGGCCACCTATTCCGGGCGTGTTTTAGGTGATATTCAAAGTGTTATGAGAACGAATAAACACGTAGATATATAATTCAAACGCGTTCCACAGCCTGGCGGAAGGGCCAACAACGGGCGAACGTAGGTAGTGCACAAAACATGCATGAGAAACACTGTCCAATGCTATGAATGGCTACCTCCTTCGATCTAAGCTTCTTGTTCTGGCTTTCGTGGTCCTTGCGAGGAAATAAGGCAATGACAGGGCGGCGAGATCTTGGCTCCCATTTTGCATGAATGTGATGCAACGCTTCACGACATCGGCCGAAAGCCTTGAGGACATGAGTCGCCACAACACCTCTTTAGACGCCATCGAACAGCTTTGCCTGCCTCTTGTGTATCAATGCCGCTACCAAGAAACAAAAGAAGCCCAATACACCGCATGAGCCAGCAAGTACCTGTCCATACAGATAGGATCCGTTGCCAACCTCAACCAACGCACCTCCACCTGGACCTCCGATAAGGCAACCAAAACTAGACAAGGCAAACCCCATGCCCATTCTTGTTCCGATTTTCTTGTTGTCCAGGGTAAGATCGGCGAGTGTTGCAGGGAACATGGCTTGCAAGCCTGCAGCAAACAAGCCGTAAAGCGCCGCAAAGGCATACATTCCTGCTGTCGAAGTGATCGCAATCCAACAATATAGTAGAAGAGCAGTGACGAAACTGACGATCAAGCTGATGGTCAATGGCCGGCAATAGCGGCCAGCAACGTACGCGGGTAACAGACGTCCCGGAATGCCGATGCCGTTTAGCACCAGGAGGAGCGGTATCGATTCTTCCAACGTCATACCCAACGTTGTTCGAGCGAAAGCATTGATCTGGGTAAGGTCAGCTATGTGGTTGAAGAAGATTGCGGTATGTACTTACATAGAAGAAAGCGAACCAAAGACCTGCGAAGCAAAAGACCGAGCCGAGAATCTATGTACGTTAGCAAAGACGTCCCGGGTTCGTCGAATCAGACCACTTACGAAAAGATCAAAGACCGGGTCCTTAAGCTCACTCGGTTCGAGCATCTTGACCGCAACCTTTGGTGGAAGCCGCTTCTTTAGCAGCCGCTCAGCAATCAATAGCATGACCAGCGCCATGAAGCCCAACGTCCTCACCGCCCATCCAAACCCGATGCGATCAATCAACCTGTTGAGCATGATCGGAATAACTAGCCCACCAGTGCCCGACCCGCATAACGTGATACTAATTGCAAAACTCCGCTTTGTCGCATCGAAATATGTCGAGATCACGGATACCATGGGCACGAACATGCATCCATTTGCGAAACCGATGCAAAACCCCTGCGCAAGCACGAACTGCCAGTACTCCTTGCAGATACTTGTCATGAAGATGCCGACCAGCCATAGCCCAATGCCTACGCGCAGAACAAGTTTGAAATGACCGGTGTCTGACGCGGCGCCAGACCAAAGAGGGATGGACAGCAGGAAGAAGACGGTGAGTGCACCGATCCATGAGATATTGGACGCGGTCGACAGTCCAATGGAGGTATAGTGCGCTTGGAACATACCAAATGATGTGATGAAGCCCCAGGTGAAGAAGGTGATGATATGCCCACCTAGCACTTGTGACCATGCTACCCATCCGCCATTGGGAGGCGGCTCGGTAGATGCGACTCTCGTGACATCAAAGGTTGAAGATACTTCTTGCTTGGTTGGCGCAATATCCTCCTCTTCGATCTGGCTGAACTCTTCAGTTGGTGGATCCGGTCCAATGGCGGCCATGTTGTTGCACGGCAAAAATGATGTTTGACCGCAAGGTCAGTCGACCCCAGGATTCTGCTTCCCCAGACCCATACTTTGCTGAGTCACGTCTTGCGGGAGATCGAATTTTGCAAGCTCAGTTTTCCGAATTTATGAGGTAATAGGAGGGGATCGGTGGCGGGAAGATGCCCGCCGCAGCGGTCATTGCCGGCGGGCCAGGCGAGGCGAGTACGTCGGATACGGCACGCTCTGCCACTGCGCTTGAAGCAACGCTCAGAAGCCAGCCTCGCGCATTGAATGCCTAGGTACGTAGCTCAGACAACGCAGTACGCGCAATGGGTTCTGGGTTTGGCTTTCAGAATGATTGTTTGCGCATCTTACTTAGGACAAAGCCTCGTGGCAATAGGGTGATGTTCGCAGCGAAGTGGTAGACTTGGCGGAGTTACCCCACAGCCTCTCCCAGCCAATCATGTGCGCGCGCCTTCCAGCTTCCGAGGTCCGTCCTGCAACGCGCGCGGATATCAGTACCGTAAAGAAGCAGCCACGATGCCCGCTACAGCGAGTCAAGTCTTGCTAAAGAGAATATGACCGGAGAGATCCATGATGCCAGAGTGACGCAACAAGTTTACGATAATCAGAACCTTGTCGTATGGCTCTACTAGGTACTACCTAGGTACTACTACTACTACTTAATCTTAACACTTAAGTATGCAGGCTACTCTTTTTCTACAAAGTAGAACTGCGGCTGATAGTACATTGGGTGCGTCTTCGCGACCATTAGGGCTCACTTATCATGGCTCGAAGAAGAACGAGAACTCGCCGGTCCAAAAATTGGTTAAAAACAGCTATCAAGAGTCGTGCTCGCGGATGCTAAAATATCTCGCTTTCTTCCTAAATCTGGTCAAGCTTTAGATGCTAGCTGAACTGGTGATAGATTCCGAGTTCTTTCGGTGTGTGATTGATAGATACTAGTACGCCACTCCCTTTTCTCATCGCATTGGGCTGGAACTCGCACCTGAGACGGCCTTTGGGGGACGGTACTATCAACGCGACGACGAAACACTGAAAAAGTCTCAGTGCGACCCTGCGTGGACAGCGTTTTGGATAGAGAAAACTAGGTCGTTCTAGAGGCAGCAAAAACGACAGATTTTGTTCGAACACGAAGGGGACGAAAAAGTCTGTGAGTCTCGACGGTACGTTGACGTGATTGGAAATAAACCCTTCGCGAGGGCCGTGGTCTTGCAAGTCGCTTCCGCTCTGTGTCTGACCAGAGCACTTTACTACCATTTCTGATGGATGCCTCAACAGTAGTCTCGAGATGCTCAAACTTAAGAAATGGAATCTCCAGGCTCGGCAACGGATGCTATCTTCCAGCGGGATCAGTTCCCCTGGATTATTCAAGGATCGCAATCCTATTGGCGCGTTGATCACTGGAAGTCGTGGGATGAGGTGCAAGATCCCTGGAAAGACCTAGCTGGGCAATATTTGAAAGTTCTACTCCTCGACTAGCATGATTGGAAGAAACCCCGATTGCCATGGGAGTGTTATTACGACGGAGAACTGTAAGGTAGGTACAGACGCGAGTCGTGAACAGCGTCTACATAGGCTCAGTCGCCAAAAGACTCATGGGACTCAGGCGCCATAGTCACAAGGATTGTGCGCCGTCGTTAGTCGCGAGGCGCTTTCTATTCTGATACGTCGCTATGTCACCACGGCTGCTGTGACATGAGCATCTTCTAGCTGAGAAGCAACGCGTTCATCGAGACCCACCATGTGCAGAACAACGGGATGCCGATGTACGAATACATCTTGTCGTACTGCCGTGTTATCCAAATCTCAAGTACCAAGCTTTTTGTAGGGGTTGCCGAGATATCAGAATACCCGGTGGCACTGATGCTGTTCTATCCCTTTATGGCTGGGCTACCGGCAGGACTAACGCCAACAGAACACAGCTGTTGGTAGCTTCTTCTTCTAGTAATCCTCTAACGAGATTGTGGCTCGAGGATGCAAGCAACCGCAACGATTGTTCGGGCACCTATGCAGGGCAAAAGGGATGGAACCACAACAGGCTCGTATAGACGTCTCCACCGTAAGCGATGCTGACGCCCAGGTGAACGATCAAATTTAACGTGTTCGTATACTGCATGTATTAAAGCTGTCCCCTCTTGCTGCAATGTGATACCCCAGGTACCCCTAAAAGGCCCATCACGTTCTTTTTGCAGCTCCAGCCCTACCTGCGGTCTCCACCTCCACACTCTCTAATCGCTATAGATTACTATACAAACATAATCCTTAATCATGTCGTTCAGTATCCGCAACACCATCGCCCTGGGCGCCTTCTCCGCCCTCGCTGCTGCGCAAACCGTGCCCCCGAAGCTCGACGCAACTTGTGCCGATGTGGTCATATTCATGGCTCGTGGCAACGACGCCCCATACCATGACGGTCGCACTTTCCCCTTCGTCGAGGCCACCTGCGGCAAGTTGACTGCTCAGGGCAAGAGCTGCGACTACATTGACATCCAGTTTGATGTAACCCTTGGTGGAGACTACTGTAACCAAGTTGCTGAGGGCGCTCGCAATGGTATCTCTCAGATCACCGCCTTCAACGAGAAGTGCCCTTGCTCGCACATTGTGGTGAATGGGTACTCTGAGGGAGCTCACGTGGCCGGAGATGTGCTTGGAGGACCGGTAAGCATCATGTGAGAAACGGGCACCCGTGAGGCATGTGCTAACTACGTACTGCGATATAGGGTGGATGCACGTTCGTCTCGACCGGCCTAGACAACAACTCTGCTGCAGGCAAAGCGGGTAAGCGACTTCGACGATACTACTGCAATGCCCTTTCTAACATGTTTCAGTCGCCGCGGCTCTCCTCTGGGGAGACGTGATGCATACCGCCAACCAGCCCTACAATGTGCTTGACGGTGCCGACAAGCAGTCTAACGGGCGTAAGCCGGAGGATCTTGCTCGCCTCAATCGCTACGCACCCGTCCTTCGCTCCTACTGTGCTGCCGGCGACCCAGTCTGCGCCGGCGGAAACGTTGTGGCCGACCACTTGAACTACTTTGAGCTCTACACCGACGATGCTTCTTCCTGGGTCGTCTCCAAGATCGACAGCGTCGCACCTCTACCGTCGTGCGGTGCCACCAGCTCATCATCCTCTGCTGCCGCCTCTTCCGCTACCAGTGCGGCCGTCACCCAGTCTTCTGCCGTCGTTCCTACCTCGTCTGCCGTGGCCACTGCGTCTGCTACACCTACTAAGGCTGAGTCTTCTGCTGCTGAGACGCCTTGCTCAACCTCTCCGGCAATGGTTTCTCCCTTCCCCGAGCCTGTCCCCTACAAGCCCGATGCCTGCGTCCTTGAAGTTCACGTAGAGTATGCCTACGTATAGTTTGAGCAAGATGGAGCCGAAGGAGCAAGTACCACCACTACAGTGCAATGCGAAAAGCTGTCAGCAGCGACAGTATTGCGACAATATATAAGACGTGTTACCACCTTCAAAGTCTTGTTCCTCTAGCTCTCCTCTTGTAAAGTGACCGTGTTGTAGCCGCATCATTCGATGTTCCCGAGGTCCGATCTGTTTGTTAAGGCCACTTCAATCTGGACGGAAGCTAGGAGTGTCATTTAAGTTGCATCTCGAAATGAATTTGGAAACACTGAGCGAGTGAACGACGGGAACGTTGCGGATCGCCGGTATTAGCTCAACATATTGAGCTACGACTTTTCCATGTTCCAAGCCTGTCGATACGCGATGGAAGATGACGCCTGTGAGCCTGTGTAGAAGTAGGTGAAACGGCTTTGTATCTTCTTAAATAGATCCCTACACTGCGCTATGTGAACTGGGGTTCCTGTCCGTCTGTTGGGCCGACAGGCGATCGTCACGCAAGTCGAACATGACCAATGCTGACGACCTTGGAGCGAACCGTGGCTGTCTTGGCATTCCCGCGGAGTTCATAGGCATGCACGTCACCTTCCCCATCTCATCGCCAAAGCTCGCCCAAACCTCACCCAAATACCACATCAACGCCGCCATGTACCGGATACGACCGCGATTCGTACCCATTCGCGCTCTACCTCGCACGTATCAACCCTCATTCCAGCATGTCCGTAGCCTTCCACAATCCCGTGCCTACCAGCAACTCGGTCGCAGTGGCCAGCAATACAAACGGTTCAACTCTCCCTCAGGTGGCCTCTCCGGTCTCCTATTTCGCTGGGCTGCCCGCCCAACGTTTTACCGTGACGTCGGTCTGATCAGTGTGGGCACTGGCGGCGTCTACCTGTACAATCTCGAAGAAGTGCCCGTCTCTGGTCGCCGCCGCTTCAACATCATCTCGCCTGGCATCGAAGAAGCGCTGGGACGGTCATCCGTAGAGCAAGTGCGGCAAGAATACCAAGGCAGGATACTACCGGATAGCGATTCGCGGGTGAAGCAGGTGAAGAGGGTTTTGGAGCGTTTGTTGCCGTATGCCGAGGGCGAAGGGTTGAAAGACTTGCAGTGGGAGGTCACCGTCATCGAGTCTCCGGAACAGAACGCGTTTGTAGCGCCGGGTGGCAAGGTCTTTGTGTTTACGGGGATTCTGCCTCTGTGCAAGGATGAGGATGGCATTGCAGCCGTGCTGGGACATGAGATTGCGCACGTGGTTGCGCATCACACTGCGTTGGTACTCTTATCTCGGACCGATGAAGCATGCACTGACCAAAGAACAGTGAACGCATGTCTCAAGCGCCTCTGATCCTCCTCGGTGTTCTCGCCCTATCTCTCTTCGATGTCTCCTTTTACTCGGGCAAAATGCTCCTCGACCTCTTCCTCTCCATGCCCGCCTCCCGCAAGCACGAAGCTGAAGCCGATTACATTGGTCTCTTGATGATGGCGCAGGGCTGCTACCGACCAGAAGCTGCAATGCAGTTCTGGACGCGCATGGAGAAGGCTGGTGGGGCGGGGCCGCCGCAGATACTGAGCACGCACCCGAGTCACCACAACAGGGAAGAGAAGATTAGGGAGTGGCTGCCCAAAGCGATGGAGAAAGCTGAGGCGAGCGAATGCGCTGTCACGAGTCGGTACGGTAAGTGAACGCACGCATACGGTATGATGATGAGGATCGTGACTGACGCGACCCAGCTACTCAATTCAGCTCCGCGTTCGATAGCTTCGGACGCTGGTGAAGCGTCGGAATCCCTTTGACGGTAGAAGACTTGTACTAACACCCTGTATACCACCTGATGACTACACTAACATGATGCACCACGAGACGAAAGGAATGAAGGTCCCATCCCTGAACCATCCCAGATAGTCTTGGATGTGAGTAGATATGAGATGAATTGATGATTTACTCTAACATGAGATGAGAACTGCCTATAAAGGCAAGTATGCTTGCTACAAACAGTTGCAAGCAAGCATCGGTACGTACATAAGGTACATGCCAGCAAACCAACAGATAGTGCGCTATGGGCCACAGGGGAAACATTGTATCGTAATGTCATAATTTCTTATACTCTATTAGCCTCGGCACCCCGGTTCGAGACAGAACATGAACATCCGCCGTCCTTGCGACCCCTATACTCGGTCTACCTACCGATTCTCTCTCCTCGACCTCCGACGCGGTATCATCGAAGTAACTATTCCCCATATCCATAGCCTTTCCCATTTCAATCTCCGTAACGGTCAATCTCCTCTCCACATCGAAATCGAATGCGCCATTCTTCTCTTCGGGTAATGCAAAGTCCCATGGCGATTTCTCGATATCGTCCTCGTCGTCCATGCTGACCAGGTTCTTTTCTCCCCAACTCCCGCGGTATCCTGGTAGAGTGGGTACCTCGGAAGGTGTGGTGGCTCGAGCGGGACAGTGGAAAACATGTTTGAGTAAAGGGGACAGTGAGGGAAGAGAGGCGGCCAGAATGCCAATGTCAACCTCGATTTGGGACCATACTGGAACCCAAGACCAGCCCCTGCGGTTCATTTGTCAGAAAATGCTACTAGTAAAGAGAACGGGCTAGGCGAAGGCGTACCAGCTGAAATCGACTTCTTGCCATGTACTTCCTGGTCTGATGGGACTGTCCGACATGACAATCTCGCAAAGGCGCATGGTGCTGGCTATGACCGGGATGACGCCGATAGAGAGAATGACTGCTAGAGCCGCTGAAGGGACGGTCAACAATGAGCGTTCATAGAGACATAAAGACGTCGACTTACTCCTTTGTCTCTTGTTGAATTTGATCACCCATATCAAAGGCAACGGGAAGATCAACAAGACAATATCAGTGACGACATTGATGGCACCCGAAATGACCATGAACATGGCAGCATTAATGCATCCATCGGGTTGGGCTTCGATATCCCAGACACGTGATACTGGTGTACAGATGAACAATTGAGCCTCCGGACGATGTCAGTTGTGCATCTCGTACAGATAGACGGGCATGAAACTCACAAGGAAGACGGAGAAACTAAAGGCAGTCATAAAGCCGGCCGCTGTCCATACAGCAGGTGACTGCACGATCCATGGCAGGCCCTGTTTTCCATAGCCGATTCGGTAGTACAGAGATAAGATGCTCATCTTGACCGCCCTGCAATAAAGTTAATCTTGGAAGCTGATGTCGAGAGCGATGTTGCAGCATACCAATTTGCGACAAAGTAGATGAGCATATTGATCCATTGGTACTAGTCCACTGTCAGTACTAAGTCGAGTGTCACAAGGTGTGTTGAACATACCATGAGCATCTCGTCGAATTGCTCCACGTGAAGCTCTGATGCATGTCGTCCCTGGCCATGCTCGATTTGCAATATGATGGTGACTGTCTGTGCGGCTCCGAGGGTAACGGCGATGGCGATGAAGAGATCGTCTAGGCCGAATTTCTTGACAACGTATCCGCGCGTGAAGCATCTACATTTTGTTAGCAATACGACATTTGCTCGTGGCGAAGATGGGTGCTTGCCGAAGAGCCACAAACGCCACAGCGACGGTATACATGGCCATACTGACTCGGCCTATGACGGGCCCTTGGTCACGCCCGTTCGCGACGTATACGATGTGCCCCATTGCGAGTTCGGTACCTGGTTGAGCTATACGATGTCCGAAGGTTTGACATGGGGCTACGAGAGTTGATGCTACAACGGCGCAAGGTTTCCAAACGCCCGACTGGAGAAGAGGAAGCGAAAAGCAAAGTGAAGGATGATGGCCAGACTAGAGGCTGGCAGACGGGACCTACACACATCTAATACATCGTGGACGAGTTACGACACCCAAAGTGCGACAGGGCGATGGGCACGTTGCAAGACTCGGCACGGCATTATTGAGGCGGCGCTGGTTGAAACTAAGATTCCCTTCCAGAAGCACATCAAACGGTGCACAAAGAGCCACGCGGCCTGTGCATGCCTCTTGTCGGCATCGGCACTGTGGGTTGTCGCGTGGTCATGGTGCGGCAAGCCCTGTCGCAGCGCGCATCTCGAAACCTTGTTTGGAGCCACGATCCCGGCACAATGGTATCGGAGGTTTGTGGGAGAACATGGCCTCGGGTTGCGTGGGCGGGAGGCTGAACGAATGGTTCGAGTGTTTCTGAGATACACGGTAATTGGCCGCGCGCGTGCACCAGGCCGACGGGCTATCCCGGTGTGGCTGGTGACGATGGCATAGACGTCTTCTTGGACGTCTCAGGGGGGTTTTCACAAGGGCCTAGTCACTGCTTGCGCTGCTCGGGTGTTGGGTAGACCGACGATCAGATGGCGGGCGATGAAGAAACTCGGAGCATGAGGTCGAGGATCGCCGCGGAGGCAGCCTGGTTTCGGTTACGGGCGGGCTAGCGCTGATGCGTGTTGGACGTTGCATTCACGTCACTCTGGCAGCACCGCACGAAAAGCATCGAGGCTCCAACAGGCGGGCGGGCGAAGAGCAGAGGCATCCGCCGCAGCCACAACGCCTGCGCGTGTTGCCCAACGGAACAGGGAAGCCGCAACCCACCAGGCGAGCCGCTCCTGCCCTGAGGCGGCCTCAACGCTTGCCCGCCTGCCTCGACACTTGCCTGCCTGCCTGCCTGCCTCGGGTCGCTGGCACGACATTTGGCGTCACTGCGCTGTAAGCTGGCATGCTCCCCTCCTCTGTACCACACCTGTTCCTCTCCCGCCCCGTTGCATGTCCGCCTACACCTCTCACCAGTCTCCCCGGCCTCTGTGGCCTGCTAGCATACCGCCATCCTCAACCACTGACCATATTCCTCTGCCCGTAGACGCTCCCCTCGCCCACGACCCGCCGCGGCTTGCCAGGCACGCGAGCCATCCTGCATACCCCACCCTGCTCCCTCCACCCTCTCCACCCCCGCCGTTGCCCAACCCGACCCTCAACGGCACCATGGCCGCCCGCGCCACCATCACCTTCTCCCAGCCGGGCGTGCAGCCGCCCGTCTATGTCACCACCTCCCTGAACGACTGGACCCTGGTGCAGATGCAGCCCCTGCACGACAAGACGGCGTCGGGCGACCTCATCTTCAGCAGAGAGTTCACTGGCGTCGCTGAAGGCAGCCACCAGTACAAGATCCGCGTCGGCGAGGACCATTGGGTGCTGGACGAGTCGAAAGAAACCGGTATGTCCTTCTACGTCCTCGTCGACTGTCCCGCTGACTCTCTGCAGCTGCCGTCGACCAGGGCATTCGCAACAACCTTGTCCACGTCAGGCCTGCCAGCGAAAGCACCTCCCTGCGCCCAGCGTCCGAAGCTACCACCAACACAGCCGCCCCAGAGACTTCCCCCGGGAATCCCTCAAAGATGCCCGAGGACCGCAAAGACAGTACAATCAACCAGGAGCAGCTAGCTTACGATCAAACCCACTACGCCCATCTGCCTGAACATGTTGCTAAACGCGCTGCCGACTCAGAATCTGACCTTGAGGGCACCAAGGTAGACTCCCCGGTCGAGACAGCAGCTCCGAAAACACCCGAGATTCCTCTTCTGGTAGTCGACAAGACTGACCGTCGGCCTGCATATGGAGATGACTTTGGCGCCGGCGCTACGACCGCCCAAAAGGCTGCGCATGACATGAGAGCCGCGGATTCCCTGCCAGACCAGCTCAATATCGTGCCCGAGTCCCATACGGAGCCAGAGTCTGATGATGGCGAAGCTGCTCCATTGTTTCGCCATGAGTCTTTCCAAGCGGATCATGATCCTCAGATCGCTCCCGCTATAATCATCGACGATGAGTCTGCGCCATCATCGACAGACCAGACTAGTTCCGGAGAGGCCATAGATACACCTTCGGAGCCTGACGACAGTGACGAGTTGCATCTAGCGCCCTTACTTAGCCACGAGACGGGCTTCGAGAATGGCGGAGCGGGGCTGAGCGACGGTCCGCATTTTTCCCATGGAACTGACAACGACGATGACGACGACGATGACGATGATTTCGGTGGAGCTCCTCTCCTTCCTCACGAGACTGGCTTCCATGATGACGGCAGAATTCCAACCGAATCTGAAAATGACGAGGACGAGCTCGACAGGTATCCGTTGCTATCACACGAAAGTGGCTTCTCGGATTACAGGGGAAGCGAGATCGTTACTAAGAGTGATAACTCGGGAATCTCGGAGCCATGTCACTACGGGGCCTACGAGGACGACGAGGATGACTACGCTGAGAATGAAGAGGGCGATGCACCTCTCCTCCCCCATGAACGCGAAGCATCTGCTGTCAGTAGCACTGGGTCTGTCTTTTCAGAGGACGATACCCCCTTTTCTCTGGACAAGCAACCGACTTTTGGTTACGAGACGGACAACGCGAGAGAATTGTTCGGCGGAGCCGGCCGACACGACTTTTTTAGAGGGCGAACAGGAAGCAATCTTCCCCACAGGCTACCACAATCAGATGCGGAAGATCATGACCTGAACGATCCATCGTTGGAACGATTTCCCACTAGCCGTCAATCAATCTTGGAACGTGTAGCGACAATTGGCATGCATCTTCCCGAAGATGAATCCATGCACGAGCGGCCACATTCTCCCCAGCCATCTGTTCTATCTCAAGCGTGCTCCTCTGTCGATCTTGTACCTGTCAAATCGTACACCTCGCTAGCTTCTGTACCTGAAGACGAATTCAGCGACGAAGAGGAGGACCACCATGATCTAGACAGTATGCCATCGCCCGTGTACATCAGTCACAATACTACCCGCATGTCCAGTCCGCCCGCCAGATTTGTGCGTGACCCATACGCAACCCCACTGCCTGATGAGAGCAAGCAACTTGGGTACGCTGTCGACACCAAACATGACGAGTCGAGTAATCATACCTACGAGTCCAGCGAAGCGGAAAGTGTGGATAAGCATGATGGTGCAAAAGACGTCTCTCGGGCTTCCAATGCTCTGCGAGATGCCATCACCACATCTGTCAACACCGAGAAACCTGCCATGGATCAAGTTACGTCTGAGCCCAAGGCTACCGCCGCAGGTGCGCACCCTGTAGCCGGTCCGGATTCTGACCTTCGGCAGCGCAGAGTACTAGTTGAGGATTCTTCAGAGGCATCAGAAGATGCGACAAGCGCAGTGGTAGATGGTGTGAGTATCAAAGACAAGATTGTCGAGGCAGCGAAGCCTGCACTTGCACAGCGACCGAATCATCAGAACGAGAACTTTCTTCAGCATTTCTTCCGAGTCATGTTTGGGCCCGTCGGTCACCTCATGACTGCTTGTTTTGGCGATCGGAAGCGAGCTAGGTGAGCGAACACCGTTTCCTTTTCTCCCTGAATCCTTGAGTATGTGGCTTTTGGCGCTCTTGCCTCGTACGAATTCCATCACACAATGACAGTATTGAGAGACGCCATTGCTAACACAAAAGCTTCAGTGCTTCCGCTCTTGTTCTTGGTACTGGTGCAGCGACTTACTATTACGCTGCGAAAGCATCAAGATGAGCTTGTGCCTAGTGCACGATGATCAAGCATGCGACACCTGGGATTCACATTACGACGAACGCGGAAGGAGCATAGCGATGCGGTATTGGGTTGCCGTGAATTGGACTTTCCTACACCTGCGTTGAGCATAACGAGATTAATGACCTGGGTTAGAGCATGCGCTTGGGCGCGCTGGCGTTTTATGTAGCATTCTCTCTCCTCTTTCCACCTCGACAACCTCATCTTGCGTCGACAAATAAATCAATGTGTTTGTTTGCTGTACGTGTTTGTTCCGATGAATATCTTGTGTTTGGCAGTGAGACCACAACCCAGAGCCAATATCAAGGCGGCAAAATCACTTCCAATTAGCACGTAAATCCATTCTTGATGTAAATGTGCATTGTATCATAGTCTTATTCCTTCTGTGTGTTGCGACACAGCGGTACTACCTAGGTATCTCATATCTCATGGCAAAGGTTTCTTCATGTAAAACAAGGACAAGACTCAAGTCTAGTGAAGAAAACGTCAGCGAGTGTAACACAACCCAACCACCATGCTACCCACTCAGGAAAAGTAGAAGGTAGGTTACACGCGCGGAAACAGGGGAACGAAAACGCGACCGTGACTGCATGTGATTCTTCTCACAGACGCGGCCTGTTTGCTCCACTCGATTGTGCACTCACCGACTTGTTCTTGACATCGTATCGGTCGTTGTTCATAATCTTCTCCCATCCGGCAACAAACTCCTTGACAAACTTGTCCGCGTTATCGGGTGAGGCGTATGTCTCGGCGACGGCGCGGAGCTCGGGATGCGCACCGAAGACAAGGTCGTGGCGAGTGGCGGTCCACTTCTTCTGGCCGGACTTGCGGTCAACGCCCTCGTACAGCTCCTTGCTTGCATCAGTTGCCTTCCACTCGGTGTTGTTGTCGAGGAGGTTGACGAAGAAGTCGTTGGTGAGTTGGCCAGGACGCTTGGTGAAGACGCCGTGGGATGAGCCGTCCCAGTTGGCGTTCAGCGCGCGCATACCACCGGTGAGGACAAC